GGTCAAGGCCAGGAATGGGTGAGTCAGGGCCACTACAGAGACAGACCTGGATCTCTTGCCCCATCAGAGGTCGTGGTGGGTAGAGGAGACTTAAGGTCCAGTGGTTCGTGTATGAAGACAGAGACCCCGAAGGGGAGGGTCCACATCTGGTGCAGTCACACTCTTCCCTGCCTCTCCCCATGCTCGCACCCCCAGGCCTGTCCTGGGATTTGGCGGAGGTAAATCTAGTGTGACCTATTGAAGACCGCTGGATCGTGTTCCAGCAGGCAGACTTCCAAGTAGCGTTGCTCCCAGCCTTCGTGATACAGGTGAGGGGCCAGGGCTGAGAAAAAGGTAGACAGCAGGCCAGGCTCCAGATCGGGGTCCATTTTTCTTGGAGACCCTGACTCCGACACTCCTCTCCACAGAGCCATTTCCAGTCACTGGATGTTTAATCAGCGACGGACATTATCTGATAAACGGTAGTCAAAGATGCCTCAGACAGGCGTGGATTTAAGTCCTGGTTTTGCAGGGTCAGCAGGTGGCACGTGGTCAAGGGCGCTGGACTCCCACATGGCCGACCACAGTTGTTCCAATCCTGGACCTGGTGGCTTGCTTTCTCACTTTCCCTCTCTCTCTCTCATTCTCTCCCTCTCTGCTCAAATGAAAATAAAGAAAGTTAAAAAAATAATAATAAAATAAATCGTGGTTTTGCTTGCTGTAACCCTGGGCAAGTGTCTGAGCCTGGGACTAGACAGCACATGCACAGACGCACTGAGGGCGGTGCCTGGCACATAGCGTTCAGAAAGATGCTGGCTGCAGTGGTCACTACCGTCCCTACTTAGCACCAAGCTGCAAGGCCTAGGGGAGGTCGGAGAGCCTCCCTTACCCTCACATGGTCTTCATGGGTGACGGTGGTGAGGACATGGGGAGGGTGGCTTGCTTTCTCACTTTCCCTCTCTCTCTCTCATTCTCTCCCTCTCTGCTCAAATGAAAATAAAGAAAGTTAAAAAAATAATAATAAAATAAATCGTGGTTTTGCTTGCTGTAACCCTGGGCAAGTGTCTGAGCCTGGGGACTAGACAGCACATGCACAGACGCACTGAGGGCGGTGCCTGGCACATAGCGTTCAGAAAGATGCTGGCTGCAGTGGTCACTACCGTCCCTACTTAGCACCAAGCTGCAAGGCCTAGGGGAGGTCGGAGAGCCTCCCTTACCCTCACATGGTCTTCATGGGTGACGGTGGTGAGGACATGGGGAGACAAATGAGCAAGTAAAAGCTATTTCTGTACAGTGTGGTCACTGTGGCCATAGAAGGGGACAGATGAGGGGCCCAAGGGCAGGCCAGAGAGTATAGTGTACAGTCATACACCCAGAAAAGGGAGCTAGGAAGGCTGAAAGCCAGTCCATGACCACCTGAGCAGGCTCCTATAGCCACCAAGGGATACCTTATCCTAGTTTGCACAAAGGCCATTGGTGGCCCTGTAGGTATGGCTCACCTTGAGCTGGGAGTAGCAGTCAGAAAAGGTTCCCAGTGGAGCTAATATGCGCTCTTGGTCATCAGCAAGTCTATGAGGAGAGTTTGATCAAGGCCCCTGTGCAGAGCCCTGGAAACCCCAGTGGAAGTCTTGGGGTGTCCGAGGGAACTGCCAGTGTTAGGTGATGTTGTTCAGCGGATTATAGGGAGGAATGGGGGCATTTAGGGAAGCCAGACTGAGTGGAGTGAGGGACTTGGGCTGAGTCCTGAGAGAAACAGATGGGGCCTGTCCATATGTGAGGAGCCTCACCAGAACGGCAAACTACCTCAGGCCTTGGAAAACCACTTTGGTGCCGATCCCACTTCAGTTTCCTCATCTGAAAAATGAAGAGGACATAGGAGTCAATGAGATAAAGTGCCCTAGTAAGGACATTTTAGCACAATGCCCTGTTCAGAGTAAGGGCTTCATAAATGCCAGCCATGGACATTATCACCAAGATCCAGCATAGCTCAAACCAGGGTCCTGGACTGATGCACTCCTCTCTAGAAGACAGGGAAGCTGGAGTCAGGAGCCTTCTCTTCCCTAAAGGTATGGGAGACTTAAGAAACTTGCTTCTTGACTTGAAAGCCAATTGATTGGTTGGTTGAAAAAACTCAGCAGAAAGTTCACTAACAATGTGAGGCTTAAATATTCCTTTCTGGGCCAGCCAGGTGGCATGGTGGTTAATGTGCTGGCTCTCACATGGCCAACTGCGCCAGACCCAACGACCTGAAAAATACACCAGGCACATGTGCAGGTGTGCCCAAATCTCAAGAGAAATATGGAGGAGAAGGGATTGTGTTGTGGTCATCCCTCCAGGGGTGATTTTTCACTTTCCCTCTTTCTTTTTTTTTTTTTTTTTTTTGGGAGAGTTTTTTTTTTTTTTTTTTTTACTATAGGGCAAGTGCACTCACCAGAAAGAGAGAGACAGAGAGAGAGAAAGCAAGAAATCATCCCCCCAGGGGGGACGGCCACACCACAATCACTTTCTCCTCCATGCTCCTCTTGGGATCTCGGGCACGCACGCACATGCACCCAGCGTGAGTTTAAGCCACCAGGTCTGGGATTCGAACCGCTGTCAACTATATGGGAGTTCAGCGACATAGCCATTATGCCAACTACTGGTCCCACTTTCCCTCTCTCTTTCTCTGTCTCTCCCTGCCAAGTACACATGCCCTATATCAAAACTAAAAAAATAAAGAAAATTCCTTTTCGGAGTAGAGAGAGACTAATGAAGTGGAGTGGTGTCACTTCTTTTTAAATTTTATTTATTATTATTATTATTTTAAATTTGCTATGGGGCATGTGTAATCACCAGAGAGAGACAGAGAGGGGGAAAGTGAGAAAGCAAGCCACTAGTCTGGGACTTGAGCCATGGTCGCCCATGTGGGAATCCAGTGCCCTAACCACCATGTCACCTGCTGGCCCTGGTGTTCCTTCTTCTTAAAAGGCTGGGCAAGGATGGTGTTCCCCAAAGGCAGAGACATCCTACTCCATCTTTCCATGATGGTACCCCACCTGACTCACTTGTCATCTATGGTAGATACTTTTAAAAAAGAATTATTCTATTTAACTTTATTATTATTTTCCAGTTTGACCAGAGACAGACAGAGAAACAGGGGGAAAGTGAGAAAGCAAGCCACCAGGTCTGGGACTTGAACCGTGGTCAGCCATGCAGGAGTCCAGTGTCTGTAACCACCACGTCACCTGCCTGCCCCAGTGGTGGAGACTTCTATATGTAGACAATGCACACATGACATTTCCTGTTGGTGATGCTTTTCCCACATGGACAATTCTGCCTGTCTCTTCTCCAGTCCTCACTTGGGTTGAGTCAGTGAGGGCATAGGTCTCAGTGCAGTTCAAGGAGACACAGGGGCCAGCTGCTGACCCCCATGACACAGCCCCTTCGGTCTGTGCCTCACTTTCAGGAAAGCAGACGGAAGGTGAGTTAAATGCTTGGAGAACTTGGAGCATCTAGACTGAGTGACACTCAGGAGGCCTTATCTTTAAACAGTTCAGGGGCGATCGTGTGGGCGTGCTCACTGTGTTAGAACTGTTTCTAGCCAGCAAATGGCATGGAGGTTAGGGCACTGGATCCCACATGGCTGATTGCGCAGTTTGAGAACTGGACCCAGCGTCTTAAAAATCACTCCAGGCGCATGTGCATGCATGCCCAAAATCCTGAGGGGAGAAGGGATTGCGGTGTGGCCAGCCCTCTTGGGAAGTGATTTCTCACCTCTCTCTCTGACAAGACTGCACACACCCTATAGTAAAACTTTAAACAAAAATGTGTTCTTTAGTGAGCACCTTGCTTTTACTACCATGGTAAATCTGCTTTGGATGTCTTTGAAGAAGGCTTCTGGAGACAAGAGGCTCAATGCTCCTCCAAGGGAGCTATTCCTCAGCACAGTAGGTGAGGGAGGACTTTTCTCAGCATTTATATAAGGGAAGAACTAGCTAGGAGGGGGTGCCCACGATGTCTGGGGAGGAGTTGCTCGCTGTGGCTTGGGACATGAAGTGTGGGAGAGAAGCAACACACTCCGCATGAGCTCTGCCCTTTGACATCTCGGCCCTCACTCCTTGGCTGGGTCAAGGCCTCAAATAGAAAACTTGGAGGGTGGGTGCCAGCCACTGCTCTCAATTCACAGGCCCCACGGCCCTCTCGCCCTCTTGCCAGCCTCAGAGACCGCCAGGCTGACAGAGGAGGAGAGGAAGCAGCGAGGTAGGAGACAGTTTCGCTTCTCCCTCCTAGACCGCGTCTGTGGCTGGAGGCGCCTGGGTCGCCACAGTTAACTCCCTGTTATCTGGGGCCCCAATCGATTCCAGGCTGTAACGTTTAACCTTCGACAGACTTCCCCAACTGCCCTGCCCCTGCCCCTCCCCCGCTCGGGTCTGGGGGCTGCATTTTCTCTGCCTAGGGGAGGAAGGTCTGCCTTGCTGCACAAATTAGCCCTCACGAATTCCAGAGATTTGGAGAAAACTCCCACTTGGGGATTACATGGGCCTTGGCTCACTCTATGGGTCCCTGAAGTGGCGAGAAGACATCTGCAGTTTTAGGATTAGATCGCGCTGGGCAGATGGAGGGCGCACTGATGGAGTGAGGGCGAGAATTTGCAGACCCAAATCTGTCCCCACTGGGCGCCTACTCTGGCAGGGCAGTTTTTGTTTTGTCTTTAATTATCGATTGAGCGCAGTTCTGTTCTAGGCGGTGTTTCAGGCTCTTGAGTTCATAGGCAAACTCAAGACACCGTAATGTAATCACTTTAGCTCCAGGACTCAGACCTTGAGCTGACGCCTGCGTAGGACTAAATAAATAAATAAGTCTTTTTTGGGGATCAGTTTCCCCATCTGCGAAATGGGGACAGGAATCCCCGCCTCTTTTCTCACAAGGACGTAATGCCACTGAGCTCTGGGGAGGGCGAGGTCTTTGAACATCTAGCTCCAGGAACCTGCAACTAGAAATCCCCCCTATCCGAAGCGCACCTGAGCTGGAGGGCGCGGCCAAACCCTCCCTCCCGATCCTTGTAGCTTCTCGCCCGGCTGATGAGGGGGCCGAAAGACGGCGTATTTCCCTGGAAGGTGTATCTTCAAGTCGAGGTACCCCTCACGAAAGGGAGGAGGTCCTCTTTTTTTTTTTTTTCTTTTCTTTTTTGGTAAAGTTGCGGGGGAAAAGGTGAAGCGGGGCTCGCCGAGATCTGGGCTGGGGCCGACCTCGTCAGGGCGCAGGGAGCTGGAGGCACAGCGGCTGCGGCTCCGGCCTCAGAGCCTGCGGCGTCCAAGTGGCCAGAGCTGCGCTGAGAGGGAGGCGGCGGGAGGAGGGAGGGGAGCCGAGGTGGCAG